ATTTTCTTCCAGGCAACGACGTGTAAAAGATGCAGTCAATGAGACAATGAGTTTTATCTCAGATTCGTTTCGCTAAATCCACTCTGTCTCTTGGTTTGAACACTTCAAGTACATCGCGAGGTAGAACCGGAAAGATAGAAAATATATTAATAGAGAATGAATGAACACTGTTGGAGCTGTATAAGCTGGCGAAGTTGCTGGTACGTGGTCGGTTGGCTCGATATTGGCCCAGACAAAACCGGAAATCTATGACAGAAAGATCGATATATTTTATGTCACGTATACGTTTCCTTGAGTGAACGTGAAGGTCATTACAAACATCCACGTGTTACCCCGATGGCATTCTATTCAGTCGCGCGACGCACACGTTGCATTTGTATTTCCAGAGAGAACCGTCCCTTCTCATTCAATAAACTGATAAGTTCCGCCATATGCGACGTTTCATTTAAATGCCGTTGTTACCGAAAGAACGAAAGGACGAAAGAAAAATATCTTTCTCATGACAATTATTTTCGTCTCCCTCTCGCGTTAATGAGTGCGACTGCGATGTGAGCGGAAAGTCTTGAGACCCGGAAGAAAAATGCGGTTTCTTTCGAAAAAAATATAGCGTTACGTTGTCTCGCTTTTCTTTTCGCAGACTATAATTCGTGTAATTCGTTTGCGGAACATGATGGAATAACAAACAATTACTAACATTTAACCGCGTAACCGTACACGTTGCTCATACACATCGTCAACCATTGGTTGCTCGCAGAAATTACGCGGAACTAGACGATGAACACATCCTGCTCCCCTCTATGCTGGATATGCTAGGCTAACGTTTTGTTACGCGTGGCAAATAATCAGAAAGTTACAGGCGGAAGTAGCGTGCGATTTGTTTCACGAAAGACTCCGCGTAAAGGGGGCAGAGAGATTCATCGCGCTCTTTAAAATGTCATTAATATTATTTGTCGAGTGCAATTTTTGTCGCAATTATTTTGCTATATATGATGTTATCCCATATAATCTTAAAAGCCGCGAATATCGCGAAATATGTCTACTATCTTTAAGAAAGAAATGTATCATTACATTTTATAAAAAATTTAACATGTAAATTCGACTACAATTTGTAAAATAGGATGAATTCCAGCAAACATTATTTATCAAGTCACAATTGCAATAATTTACATTTCTCTCTCTTAAAGAGGACGATATTTTTTATCAGAGAACCACATCTGGGACAAGGTTACAAAAATATTGTAAATGTAACATGTGTTGCGATCATCCACGCTCTCTTCGAATTCTATTACAATGTTTAACAAGACCTGTCAGGATAGGCAAGTTTACGTGAAAATGCGAACAAGAAAATAGCGGCGAATTGATTCCGCCAGAGAGCCGAGAATCCTTTTGCGCCGTTCAAGGATAAAGCTGACGTTTCAATCGCCTTGTCCTGGATTCGGGTGGTATATCGTACCCTCGGTGGCGAGTTCTCGCCCTTCAGTAATGAAACTCATCCAAGTGATATTCGGATCCTTCTCTCTCTCTCTCTCTCTCTGTCCCATTACTCGCTGGTCTAAGACCACCGACTACGCGGCAGTAATTGGCTAATTAAGTCACCCTCACGCTCGTCGATGCGTCGTCAGTACCCTCATCGTCCTGATAATTTAGTCACGAGCTCTTCCTGTAACATACTACACAATATAGGTCAATTGCTGAGCGCGTATCATAAACTGTTGACCAGGCGGATTCATTCGACATATCCGTCGATGGTTTATGAGCAGATATACGATCACCGGTCGCTGCTGGGCTTGACGTTTTTTGCGGCTGTTACGCGTTTAACTCGTTCGGAACACATTCGAACCAACAGAGCCATCTTTCATCTACAGATTCTTTGATTTATTTAGAATCGATTTTTTTTCGTGAAGGAACCAACGACTGTTCTTCAGTCATAAATAAGTGGAAAAGGCTTTTCAGGAATTAAGAGATGCAAAAGAGATCTTCTGAAAATGCAAACAGATAATTTTATTCTTCGTTAAGTTTCAAGTGGTCTTGAATAAATATATAATTTGAGAATTAGCTGCATAAAAAAATTTTAAATTACTTAGAAAATTTTAAATTACTATAGAAATCGATAGATATAGAATATAACTCGCTAATTTTGTAATGTTTAATCATTCTGTATTATATACAAGTGAGATTTATATTTTGTTCGAAACGGTAAACAACTTTGCGGAAGGTGAAGGCGAAGGCGATCATCCTCCGCAAATTTTAACCCTTTATAGATATGTGGGTTAATAATTTCCTATACATTCCTATTATTATAATTTACAAGTCCGCATATAACACTCTTTACTGTACAAATATAAAATAGTTCGCTTTTTTTATATTTTAGTATAGTGTGATCTATAAAGATATTAGTTAATTCCACTTTAATGCATATGTATGATTATGCTATTTTGATATATCAGAGATATAAATATATTACAAAAAGAAAAAGTTGCATTAAGCAAAATAATATATAAGTCTTGCTAATAATAAATATACACTTTTACTCGATTGTTTTCACGATCTAGTTCCTATAAACACAATAATTAAAAATTAATTATTCTTAAACGTGATTTAACTAGTCTTCTCATTAGAAACGAAATTGAAAAGAGGATGAATTAAATTTTACATCTTAGGAATAATCGATTAAAGAAGATATTTTTTACAATCGGTTATTAATTATTCCTTTAAACAGGATGACACCACCACAGTTTATCGCTTTCGTAGGCTTCCGTTCTCTACGGGCGATCTCTAACAGACTATGCAAACAATAATCAACGGAGACAAGCGCTCACGCAAGTGCTGTGCGTAGGCGGTACTATGCGTATGATAACGCACATGTGTGTGACGTCCACAAAACAGCATGTTCCTTTTCCTATTGTGTTTATCGCGTGAACGAAGAACGTAGAAACATAAAATCTGTGGTATGGGATTGATATTGGGACGACTTTTATCTTTTCAAGCGCGAACGTGGAATCTCGCCTTTCGAAGTTTCATCATGTTCGTCACGTTCATCCGCAATAATGCGATCAGCGCGCTCATTGATGTGTTATTGTGATTTCATCCAACTCGCGACATGCGATACAATAGTCGATAGCTTTTTTCCTTTTTTTTTTATTTTTTAAACAACATGATATTAAAACTTCGTTTACGCTTGCACGTACTCCAATTTACCGAGTGTCATTGAATAGCAACAAAATGAAATACCGCGTCTGAAATTCGAGAAAGTAACTTCTCCGATGAAAAATCGGCGAAGCTTCGAAAATTTCGTTCGGAAATGAATGCTTCCTTCCAAATTGAAAGGTGTAACTTCAACGCGTGTCGTATCTTCTTTGCCGGGTCGACGAAAAATAATGATTAATACAAATCGTACGACAGCTGGTGTCGGTTTACTCCAATCGTGCGAATGCTTACACGCGCCGCGCGATCGCCGATGCATGTCCTGGCGGTGTCCGATGCAGTTAGGACATCTCACGTTTACGCGCACGCTTCTGTACGTGCATGCACGGATGGATACCGTTCGTCGAACGCGTCACATCGGCGACAGACACGTAGACATACTTGCCGCGATATTATCGGCCGCCTTTACGTGTTGCACGAAGGCGGTTGTTGCACATGCATGTGCTGTCGGAGAGACGAGAAGGACTCCGCCGCCAAGCTTTTTGCTCGGTCAAATCGAACGATCCTCCTGTTTCAACAGCGAGAGATATAACGTTCGCCAACCGAAATGCCAACGCTTGGACCGCACGTGGAACCGCGCTCAAATTTCATTTCGGTATCGATACTTTCGTCATTCGATATCGAATATCGAAATTGCTGATCGAGCATTTGAATTTTTTGCGTTAGAAACTTTTTTTTTGTTGAGCTACTCGATATACACGTAGAATCTCATAATTGATCCTTTATGAAAAATTTAAATTCATTTTTTTGTATTTTCAATAAAGGACTTTCAATAAATTGAAAATTAAAATGAGTAGGATTATATTTAGGATTAAGGACGATGAATTTTAATAAAATTTAAATTTTGTAATATTTGTTAAATTATATAAAAGAAAAAATAATAAAATTGCGATTAATAAATTTTAGTTCAATTTTAGCTTTCAATTAAATTTAATTAAAATTGCATTAAATTGGTATATATAGTGATATTATTGAAGATGACTAGACAAAGATGTGACTTTTATTGTATAAGTTACATACCTAAATTAGCTTACGATTAAAATTTATTAAATTGTCACCATCTCAAATATATCTTATGATGTATCTGGTGCATAAATAAGTATAATATGACAATCTGTATAAAGATCTTAAAACTTTCGCCAATTTTTACATGAATATATTGACCAATTTAAAGTATTGTTACTAGATCTATAAACATGAGCTATCGAACAAGTGACGATGCGATCGTGTAAATTGGGGTTACTATTGATAGAATAGGATCTGGTAAGGAGAGCTGCAGATGTTCCTTCGATGTCGCATACATTTTATCCTTTTGTAAGGCAAACAGGTAGTCCCTGCATTACGGAATCGGTATTATGGTAATGGCGAAGCATCTGGTCTCGTGATCGAGTATTGAATATAACTAGTTTGATAAATATTAAACTAGACGCGAGAACTAGCACTTTCTCACTCGATGTTCAAGTGAATTTCACGTGCTCTTAATTCTATTCGCCACGAAATTTCTTAATATTCCCTTGAAACAATGGTCATTATATTATTAACTACATTGCGTATGAAATGCATTTATTGGCGGATTTAAATTTTTTATTAAATTACAATAATAATATTAATATTAATAAATGTATATGTGTAAATTTATATTTAATATAAATATGATCAAAATTTATTTTAAATATATTATTATATTATTATAAAAATATAAAATCAATTTTTTAATCACATACATGTAACGTAGCATTAAATAAACTTATTTTCGCTTATCTCTTATGTGATTATTTCATTGTAATTTTTTTCAGGGAACAGACAATAGCTCGAAAATGGGGTTGAAACGACGGCGTAACAAATTGAGCGAGACGTCAATGAAGTAAATCAGCTTAGATTCCGTAAAGAAGATGATGACTGCCATGGCTCGGTTGCCTTGCAAGCAATCGTCGTCCTCGCCCTCGCAACAGCCGAGAGTGAACAATTTCGGAAACAGCCGGAATCCTTACTGGGATATGCAGCAGGCTAGACATCCTGCACCGCCGTACGTTAGAAATCATCATCGGCACTCCGATCATACAGGTGAAAATCAAGCAATGCATTGCAAATCGCATCACGAATCGATGCGTTAGGGACGTTGATGTGTATATTTGAAAAAAAGAGAAACAAATTTATACACGCATCTCGAATCGTTTCAAAGTCTTGTCAGATGAAACAAATTTCTATTTTAGCTTCACTAGTGAATGACCGACGTATTTATGTTGATTTATATAAAATAATAGAGGATACATTCCAAATAATGTATGATATCAGTAAAATTATGCAAATAATATAATTATATATATATATATATATAAGTAATATTATATAAATAATACATAAATATAAATAATACTATTATATATACCTATTTAACGAAAAGAGAAGTAACATGCTACCAATTTTGAATTATTAGAAGACGCGAATTAACTTGATCGTTCATTAGGGCAAAAAGTTGCTATGGATGGTAATTTCGCGCACTCTAGTTTTAACATATACATTCTGTTCGCTTGATTCAGATAGGTTACTTTTTAAACGATCATTCATATATCTAGTGGATAAATATCTATATATATATCTATAGGATAAAAATTCGTTTTTTATCTGAAGATTACGATTTAAAATGTGTGCATAATTTTTCTTTCTTTTCTTCTAGTTATAAGTACGTATATTCCAATAAAAAATCGTCCATTCAATCCGTTCCATTTTTTGGCTTTTGACAATTCGGCTTATCTTTGTCATTAACGTTTCATTGTGAGACCGTGTCACATTCGATTAAGGACGAACGCCGATAGTCCGATAGCCTCGTTTCGACAATTTATAGCGAATGTAATGCCGCGATTCGACTGAATAAATTCAACATTGTGATAGTGTGTGTGCGTCATTACATATATATATGTATTCCACAATTATGCAAAAAAATATTTCCCTATTAACAATATAACGTCATTTAACACAAAAGAAAAGATAAATATATTTCGCGTACCTCTATAAAAATATTTGTAAAAGAAAAGTACCTTATAAAATATTTGTAAAAGAAAAGTACCTTATAAAAGAAAAGGAAAAAAATCATAACTTACGTTATCATTTGTCTCATAAATCGTGTCATTACTACAAGCTTATTGCATTTGAAATTATTGAATATGTGTTATAGATATATGAATATATACAAAAAACGGCTATTCTGATTTACAAGAAATTTGTAAAAAAATTTATTTAAATTCTCAAATTGAAATTCTTCCTTATATCTTAATATATTGAAGCTTTCCCACATCATCTGTAAATCAGTTGAAAAGAATCAGTTGTTCCACATCAATGAGCATCAAACGATGGAAAGTCCATTTGCTTTTTATGTTCTTTCGACGATTTCGCCATATGTACCACATTATAATGTGTAGCTTTGATGTTACGCTTCTGTCGTCCAGGCTCTTTTTATCACCGCTATGCGTCCTTGTCATTATCGCAGTCGGTGGTTGTCTCTCCGAGGAGAGATGTGCACCGGGGAATTTTATCTATCGGCATTCTCCATGGGGACATGTGCGTGTCGGTGGCGGGCACATGTCGTCAATCAGTGGCAACGCGAACAGAGCGAGTCCGCGCGCGAAAACAGGAGTACGTGCAGATGCTGTCGTTCATCCGTTAACACTTGCCCTCTGCCGCTTAACCAAGTGTTCGAGATGTATATACGCGCACATGTGTTGTCGCACGATGACGCGATCGGTCGATGATGCCGCAGAAACAGAGACCGGGACGCGACGCGAGATGAAAAGGAAAATTTGTCTCTTTTCCATCGGTCCAGAACTTCTCACAAGTATTCTCGGATACTTTCTGTGGTATTGACGAAATCAATCTACAACGGAATGAAAAAAATTGTCAGATTATGTGAAAACCAATAATTCGAAAGAATATACATTATTAAACTTATTTGTAATAAAAAGTACTTTATTCCAAAATTCTTTAAAAATACGAGCAAATTAATTCGAGAAATTAGCAATTTTACAAATAGATATTAATGAAAGATATTTAAATTTTTATATTTATTATTTAATAGAGCTGCTTAACACTGATTTTTTTTTAACATGGAGACTAACTGCTTCGTGAGAATTTCTACGTATCGAGGATATCCGGTTTGTGAACCTACATGAAATTGGCCAAATTGCCAATTACTAAGAATAAGTAAGATTATACGAAGACGCTCTAATTGGCAACAAGATTCTATTTCGTATGCAATTGCTCTGTTCGTACACGTCCCACATTAGCACTTTGCTACATTTTTAAATAAAAATATCGAAATAAATATCAAAGCTATAAATTCCTATATTGTGATTATCTTTCTCGGCATTCTTTCTTTATTATAAATATAAGAATAAATAAAAATGAGATAAATTTTAGATAATTTGAGATAAGAAATTTTTTATCAAATTTTCATTGACATAAGCTTCAAATAAAAACATTTGTAATGAAATATGACACTTCCGTGAATTTCATAGACATAAATATCAGAAATTAGACTGTTAGAAATTAATAGTCTACAAAAATGGTGATAGTTTTCATAAATTTAGTAACTATACGAGGTCTGTCTACACTTGGTTTAAACTCGATGGCCAGAAAGTGATATTTCCTTCCACTTTTCAGGAAGCAGATTGTTTACATTGGAGTATGTCGCTTATGGTAATCTTTTAACGGTTTTTTCCCTTCTCCATATGTGCCTCAGGCAAACGGAAGAGCGCCGTGGAACTGCTACAGGAGACGAAAGCCTTTTATGTGAAAAGCGAGACCGTGCTGGATCGGAAACAAGAGCTGAAAAACAGCGGCCATCTACAGGTTTCACAACTGAGCGCTCCTGGTGCACCACCTCCCAGATTATTGCGAAAATGCACCGGCAACTCGTCCGCCTGTCCGATGCAGCCGACGTCGCCGTCACAGTTACAGCCAACCCCCATGACACCGCCTTGCTGCTGGGCCTCGTGTCACGAACAGGACAGACGTAAGTCACCAAAGAAATCCCGTAGCTTAAGGTTTCGGTGTGTCCCATAAGGGACATACAAGTGTGATTCCGTAACATATATGTGTTGTCCATGATCCAATTGAGAAAAGGCTATATCTGGAAATTTATCGCTTTGCGAGAAACTAAAATTATATTTGATACATATTTATATATTATTATACTATATTTATTATTACATTATTATAAAGTTATAATACAAGTATTATAAATTTTACAAGTAAATACAAGTATTATAAATTTTACATGTACACACACATTATTATGTGTATGTACATATAAAATATACATAATATAAATAATATATAACAAAAGCTTTTCTCTCTCTCAGAGAAGGTAAACTCTGATCTCAATTTCACTTATTATAAATTTATTAATTTTCTTGCTAAAACGTGATTAGTGTTTTAATAATAAAATTAAGAAAAAATCTACATAAAGTGGAATTGATCAGTTTTTTTGAGAATTTATGTATAAATATTTTAGTACCACGTATATTATTACGTAAAATAAATATTTTATTATTATTTACTACTTACATGTTTCTTATGGAATAGCACAAATCATCATAAAAGATTACTGTTTTGCATAGTAGACGGAATCCTGAGTCCTCAACAAACACTGCCACCCGCGCTGCCACCGAAAAGCCCACGTTTGGTTCCGGTTCCCCAAAGACGGACGATTTCAGGGCCCCCGAGCAGTACTGGAGGCGATCAATTGCAAACGAAGCTGCGTCGACTATTAAACACTGATAGCAAGGAGAACGTATTCTTTTCGGATAGTCCGCCGCAAAGTACGACACAAAGCAACGGCGTGTCCGTGACGCGAGAAGAGAAATTTCGATATTCGCCTGGAAGTCTCTCGCCTGGCTGTCGAGACGAGGATCGTATGCTGGTGAGAAAAAGTTGCGATAACGATATCTCCCTCGCGTTAATATAACATATTATTACAGTCATATCAAGTTTTGTAAAGTATTCCAACATGTTTTGTTTTCTTAAGAAAATTTATATATGCATCCTCATCGATAAGTGGCTGATTATAACATTATATTATATTTGTTTTGCAGCATTGCCCGCCGCAGGATGTTCGTTTCAAATTCGGCAGAAGCAATTCGCACTCGCACACTTCTGGAAGATCTAGTCGCAAGTCAAATAGCTCCCCGTCGGTGGAAAATACGATATGCCACAAGTCTTTGCCGGATCTCCACACAAGCACACGTCGTCGGGCGTCACTCTCACCGCGCGCATCTACGAAATTATCGGCGAAGCCGTCTGCCCATCATCAAGCTACGAACACGAGCAATTGTCCGGATTATGAAACTAGTTCAGATTATTCGGATCACAGTTTTAAGCGTGATGCTGTTTGTTATCGCAGGTAAATGATTTAATCTAAATTCTTTTAGCGCATATTAATAAATACATTGTATCTAATTTTACAGGGCAGCAAATTCTAAAAAACAAAGTAATTAATTAGCGAATTTCTCATTGATTTTTAGCTCCCGCCATATTAGGCGATCTTTGGGATCTGGTGGTGGTGATGCAAGCAGTGTATTATCCTCAGGTGGACGAACGCAGAAATCATCGGGTTCCAGTAAGTTGAGCCATGGCGCAACAGCCAGAGACTCTGGTGGTTCTTCTGGACACTGCACTCATCGCAGCGAACCAGCACCTAGAATACAGGTACAGATGAAAACACACACACACACACACCAACGCAAAACTGTTTAACTTTAATTATCGATATCTTCCAGGATTGTTGGACTCATATACGCAGAGATAGTGGAGCATCTACGCAACATTCCACCGAAAAAGATCGATCGAGGAAAGGCAGTTATATTGGTGGTACACTGCCACCGGTTGTAAGACACTATAGTCCAGATTCTGAAAGCAGTAATAGTCAAACGGATTATAGTCCGACCTGTAATTCAAGGTATTCATATATTTTTCATGCTTATCTAATATATTTAATAATAATTTAATAATAAATATAATAGAATATTTATGAGTTATCTGAAAAAAAACTGACGATCAGCATTGTGTAGTACATCATAATTTAGTTTTTCGATGTTATATCGTTCGACATTTTTCATGTATTAGGTTTTCCGACGGTTGGAAGGAAGGTCGCGGTCGACCTATTTTAAGATCGAAATCAGATATCAGCGATCGATACTGGCGCCAGGATAACGGCCGGTCCAGCAAAGTATCATCCCGGCCTCCGCGATCGATGACTCAGCTCGAGAATTTCTTTGATCGTTTAGGACTGGATTCGGATAATTATCAACGTATAACGGAACCTGATTCGAAATCGTCGTCGCCCATATTCTTCGACAGTGTCAGCTCTGTAGATTCAGCATTAGGTCTCTATTCCTGGGTCAGCAATAATCAGACAAATCAGAGTAACCAGTGGCAAAACAACTGCAGCATTGGTATGGGTAATGACGAGTGCAATCAAAGGGTAAACGATCCGCCAAGTATCGTCGAGCGAAACGCGCGTATTATCAAATGGCTTTGCCAATGTCGTAAAGTGCAGTTAGGATACAGCTAAACAACGAGTTTCTCAACGTGGGTAAATCTTTCATTTTCAATAATAATATATTCGAATCTCAACGAGTGTAGTGCGTTTTGCCATTCTATAAATGATATATCAGATACTCCACACTCATACATTTCTCGTAAATGTGGAATTGATTAACCTTAGCTTCTTATCTTCTTAGCTTCTTTTTTATTATTTGTATAATTTAATAGTTTTTGTCAATTCTGTATTAGCTATTTGTAAGAGTACGACTATTGTTTTAATTTATTGTGCTTAAAGATAGAGATGAATTTGTGCCATTTTACAATTAATTGTTATGGTTATATATGTTGTGCCTTCCATCAAACTGTGGTTATAAATTCAGGGTAAAGTTTTTTGGAACATATTTACGTGATGTGCGGGTTATCATACATTAATTTTTAAAATCTGTGTAGAAAATTTTTTGATGATATCTAATATTTATGCGAAGGTACATTGAAAAATGTTTGCTTATATATATATTTTTCTCAGTAAAATTCGTTATTAGATTTTAACATTATTAATCTTGTAATTAGTCTATAATATGTTATGTGAATATTTTTTCTTTTTAGAAAGCAAAGCAATATTAGATTACAAAACATTATTAAAATTGTGTATAAGAAAGAGGAAACGAAAGAGAAAAAATTTGGAATTTATTATATTTTAATACAAGATATAAATTTAACGACGTATATGTATTTCTCATTTTCGATCTTGAAAATGATGATTTGATTTAATAGAAAAAGTACTCAGATGAAAGATATTTACCTCGATTTTATGAAAATGTATAGATCTAATTTCATAAAAGAAAATTAAAAAAATGTTGCCTTTATATATATATACTCAGTAGTTTCTAAAAATTATACATTTAAAGTGAAACAAGCGTTCAATTGATGTTAATATTTCATGAAATTTAGAAACGAAAAGTTATATAAAAAACTTGATGTTAAACAATAGACGAAAGAATGATCCCAATTTTGTAGTTTAATAGAAATTGATGTGATTTATATTTAATATTGTATAAAATTAAAACATTCATTTAACATCGTTCTATTTTAATAATAATCTACAAAAGTTTGTGCTAGCTTCACTACATTAAGCTTTATGCTCATCAATTTATTTTACTATACAACGTAAATCGTACAAAAAATATAATAAATAAATATATATATATATATATTTTTTAAATTTACTTCAAAACTCTGACGATATGCTATCTTTGTACAAAGATTGCATAAACTCTATAAGTTACAGTAACTTATATAAATGTTAATACAAGTTGAATTTCGGTTTTGTTTTTCCAATATTATTGGACAAAAATTTATTGTACTTACAATGCAAATATATAATATGGACTTTGTTGCATTGATTTGATAAATTGTAAAATAACTAATTTAGTAATGTTTGATTATGATAATCAACTTTTTATTCTTATTTTGTGCTTCGAAAATTGCACGCGTGCGCGTAGCATTTTATTTTAATAATGAATTAATTTCTATATATTTACTGGCAGAGAGTTGTACTTATAGCTTCTCAGTTATTTAATTTTTATTATTTTTATAGCAAATATCTAACCGCACATATTTAATATGTGATGGCAATGCACATTTTGTATAATATTTCACATTCGCGCGTACATATATGTAGATTATCTTTCTGATTGAATATCAATGTAATTAAAATATAGAATTTAATATACAATTTCATAAATAAGATTTGTCGATTTGCATTGCCTATTTCTTATTTTAAAAGCACTTTTACTTTTGCCATATAATAATAAACAAAACAATTTTACATAATCCACTTACAATTTAAATAGTGCTTTCTTTTATTTATTTAATTGTCCCTACTCTACAGCATGGTAGTGTAGGAAATTTTGGATGTTCACAAGAAAATGTTACATGATTCACATATATATTCTTATAACGCGATTTGTGTAATATAAAGTAGAATTATTCGTACTTCTCTCATTTCAGGTGATATAGATGTTTTGAATATGTGTAATTAACAATTTTGCATAAAATACGGTAAACAATTCAATAAAATGGAGAAAAATCAATATTACATGTCATTTCTGTATAATAAAATATTAGATACATTGCGTGCAAAAATAATTATAGTTTAAAGAATTTTTGGGATGTCTCAGGCACCCTATGCTGATTACAAAGATTAGAGAGGCTAAAAACTAAATAGATTTATTATATTTTCGAAGCATTAAGAGAATATTTTAAAATTATAAATAATAAAAAATTACGGAGTTTTATGAAGAGACAGCATCAAATTAATTTTGAAGTCGCCAAAGAATCTAAAATTGGAAGCAAATTTGTGGTGCCCGAGATATTATGTATAAAATATTAGATATTGGCATAATATAATTAATGTTTGTTATATGCAATTTCTGATGAAGATACATAAAGAATTTATATAAAGTTTATAATCACTACTATAGTAATCAATTGCAAAACATATAAAATTAGATTTATATGCGGCAAATATATGCTTGTGACGTGTGTGTGTGTGTGTGTGTGTGTGTGTGTGTGTGTGTGTGTGTGTTCATGTGTATGTGTGTGATAATATTAAATTTTGAAGTCATATAATTTTATTTTTCATGATAATAAATATTTAGGCATAATATATATACTACATATGCTGTGGATTTATACACTTTAGGATTAATATTGTGAAGTTGAAAATATTGGAATTGGATTTGGATACAAAAAGTGATATTGAAGATTACATTAGATTAATTAGAATTAGTTTTGGTATAGCTATTAACTTGCATAAATATAGTTTTCAGGATATATTTGCTCTATCTATGAATTGCTATTATCTTAAATTTTAAGAAGGATATTTGAGAACAATAAAGTTAATGCAGTTAAATTTTGCTTCACACATTAAGAGAAAAAGAGAGAGAAAAATATAGCATAATATAATAAGTGACTAAACACAAATATTCATATTATATAAATATTTATAATGTCATATTACACATGTATGCATATTAAGTAATTGAAAAAGAAATTATACATGATTCTCTTTGTATATTTTCCAGTGTTTACACTGGAAGTGTAACTATGCATATGTTTTATATAAGAATTAGTCATGTTCTTATTTTATATTTTTTGAATAGCATTCACTGTGTGCTTTATTGTTCACAGAGTATATTTTATGAATTGTTGTAGTTTTCCACAATGCGTTTTTTCTTAATTATAAAAAACATCGAGAAAAGAGTAAAAATATCAAAACAAATATATTTCACACATTAAAGGCATGGAGAAAAATATAATAATTGAAGGAATTTATATAAGTTATTTGAATTCTATTCTTTTGATTTTTCTCAAACATCTCTGTTAAATATCTTCTCCATGTTAAAAATTATTATAAAAATTCTTTCATATTTCTTGTCATATCAAGGAATAATTTTGTATATGTGTAGGAAGATAAATTGTGTGATTCTTTTTTTAAACTTAAGAAAAAGAATACACTTATATTGTGACATTTAATGTATTATAATATTTTGTGATGCATAATATTTAATATTGTTAAATCTATATGAATTTCTAATTGCTTTTATAATCTAGTCATGTAGAACAAAATATGTTAAACTTCAAGATAATATTATTAAAAATTCCTTCTATATATATATTGAACCTTTTATTTCATTTCTCCCTTTACACTATATTTCTCATAATAAATTATAAAATAGTCATTTATATTTTATATCCTTATTTTTCAATTTTTAACACTAATAAGAAAAAAAATATATAAAATAAAAAAGCTTTTTTAGAACTTAAATATTTGAGATTATTTTGATTTTTATCACATATTTTTTTAATTAAATTAGAAATGACATATAATAAAAAAAAAGGAAAAATATTATGATACTAAGCCAATTTTTGAGAATTTAAATTTGAGAGATAAATCAGTAATTGGCCTTTGATATCAGTTTACATATATTAAAGCAATATATTAAAGCAATAATTTGTAAAATTAATTTTGGACGAAGTTTTGACCATATAAACATAAATTTGATCGAATGAAATCGATTCTTTTAAGTTTTCATTCTAAATTTTTTTCCTGTATATTCCAAGTTACAAAAGTGTTTTTTTTTTAATCTATACTGCAATGATCATGTTAATTTTTGCTCTGTATTATTGCTTTTCCGCTATTTAAATTTATCACTTGACTACGTTAGATTAAAGTGAGACAATGTTTTCATTCAACAAGATTAAAATTGCGAGAAAATCTTAGAATAAAGGAAATATTCGCGATCCAGATGATTTTAGAATAGAGAGAACTGTCCGTAAATTGTTTTACAATAATATTCACATTTCTTCGAACAATCATGATGCATGGAATATCTAGATGCACATACGCCAAAATATGTATGTACCACATACATACCAACAATTGATACAATTTGCAGGAAAGAAGACTTACCTGGCTGGCGTATATTTATAATCTGTGGTCACGTTGTGCATTCGAAGTGGTGTAGTGTCATCGTGTATGCTAGCAGTAGTGATGTGGAACTTTGCAATAGTGAAAATATGACGGAAATCAGATCATTTATGAATCTTTTATTTTCTCTGGTGCTGATAATCCTCTGTATCATATCGCAATGCTTAGCCGCTCTATCTGACAAGCAATTATGTTACAATCCAGATTGTTCGGGTAATTGAAGCCATACATTAGCCTTAAAATCCACAACACATTTTTTTTATATTCCTTCTCCGTTGTTAATCGTACATATACTATACTGTTGTATTTTTTATGTAGAACCCATCTCATTAGCCAAGACAGCAATTGTTTATATATCAAACGATCGTGAAGTAATGTCATTTAATGCTGGTACAGAAGTCAAGGTTTTCAGTAAAGGTGCTGGAAAGAGAACAGATTTATGGGGTGTTGAGGTATATATCTTTTTATGTTTAATATCATTGAGTTAATTGAAAACGTTATTGAAAAGTAATATTTTCATATTTCAAAATTTTTTTTGTTAACAATATGTTTTTATCAGTCATATTTTTATTAATAACAATAACTTTTATTAATAATATACTTTATTAAAATATACTTTATATTAACAAAATTTACCATTGCTGTTGATTAGAGAGAGAGAGAGAGAGAGAGAGAGAGAGAAGGAGAAGGAGGGAAAAAAGGAAAGGAGAAAGAGATATTTAGTTTATTTCTTATAAGAATATGTAAAAATATTTTCTCATAAGAATAATATAAAAATATTTTTTTATATACCATATATATGTATATATTTTTTTCTTTTATATATTAATCTTTATTCCAGATAAATGGCAAACGTGGATTTGCACCCAGGTCATTACTAGTTGAATATAAAGTCTTGCAACGTAAATTGCAGTATGAAGTGCCTGTTTATAAGTTTACTGGTGAAGTTAATGAAGTTCAGCCCACGGAACTTGAGTCAAGAACAGAAGAAAAACATAAGACACATCCTCTATTGAAAAATAAGTTGCTCCACGATATTGAGGCAACATCAAAATCAGTAAAATCCATAGATGAAAGTATTGTGCAGGAATCTCAAGTGATCAATGTAGATAACATAATATCTTATGAAGTGATAGATGGTACTACACTTTATTCTGACAATGAACCATCTATACAGCCGAACTTTGTATCTAAAGTTGTGCAAGCCACTGCTTTGCCAAATGAACAAGCCTCAATTGATTTTATTGATTCTAAAATAAATCCTGATCATAAAGAACCATTATCTGACAAAAGTACATTTATTAAAAAAGAATTACAAACAGATGCAAATGATGCAAATGGTAAACTTGACAAAACTAAATTATCTCTAGATGTTCATAAAGAAACAAGCACTGAGATATTGTTAGAAAATTCAGCGGGATTGATCAGTTTAACTTTAGATACAGTCAGCAAAGATGACACTCTAATATATGATGAAGGCAATAAATCTGAAGATGAGTTATCTACAAATTTGGAACACAAAGAAAAATCAGATAATAAAATTAAGACAGATAATAATGCTGAAGAAAGCATAGAAGATAATAAGAAAGAAGAAATAATGGAAAGCGTTGAAAGCAAAGATATATTTGCCTCTTTTACAGAAACATTCAAAATGTTTTCTAGTTCACAAGACACTACAGAAAGCACCACTATTCAAAATGATGATATACCTGTTTCCAAAGCTGAGAATAATTTTCAATTAAAACAGGTTTCAGAAGATATTGAAGCTAAAGATATTGCATCTGAGAAACATATTCCAACTATTCAGACAGAATTGGACTCAAGTATAGATTCAAGTCTTATAAGTAAAGAAAAGATAGAAATACAGCAAGAAATTATACATGAGAATATTGAGAGTGCAAACGTTTTGGATGAAAAGACAAAGATAGAAAAAGAAGCATCCATTATTCTTTTGGAAAATGCTACATCTTCTAGTGACGTGCCTTTATCCAATAATTTTGTACATAAAGATACTGCTAAACCTGCCAAAAAGTTGCCAACAACATCTTCAATTGAAGTGGATGATAGTACTACTTCCTCAAAAACTGACATTAATAACATTAAAAATATTCAAATAGGGGAAACAAGTAAAGAAGAAAAAATTATAGAAAATATTGAAGACATAGATGGTTCTTTTGTAAAAGATTCAATAATCTCTGGTTTGAAAGAAACTACAGTCATAAAAAGCGCTTCTACTCAAAGTAACAGTGAGGTTGAACAGAAATTGTCAGAAAATGATAAAACACATCCAGAAGAAGATGTTAGTCACACGAAAACATTTGACCAAGTTACAATTAATAATAAAATTTCAGAAACTACTAACTTATCACCTGAAACAGCTATTAAAGAAAATACAAAAGAATTATTCTCTGAAAGTCACACTGTTGAAAAAAATGTAATGATAGACGAGTCATTAAATCATAGTGCTACAGATATTTCATTTATTGAGAAATTTGTATATAGCAATGTAAATAAAAATGATAACTCAGTTGATAGTTTGGATAATGTTCCTATAGAACCTAACCAATTTTCTAATGATGTAACACCTGGAATTCTTGATTCAGATCAATCCCTGGATTCTAGTCAAAAAGAAATCTCAAATCAAATAACAAATTTCAATGAAATTCTGCAGAACCAAAATTTATCAGATGTTGAGGAAGATTTGGAACATGAAAAAGATCAGTTTGTCAGTCCTGTAAAAGAAAAAGAAACCTTGCTTGAATATGATGATTACATAAACAGTGAAGACAAGGTTTTGTACAAAGATGAATATACTAAAGAGGATAATAACTTGAAAAAACCAGAATCAAAATCAATATCAGATGAAATAGAAGGTATAAATTTTATTTTATTAATATTTAATAACATTTAATGCTTTCAAAGTATAATCATATAATTTTTGCTCAGATAAAGTTCCCTCATTTGATGAATACACAAACGAGGTAACAACTGAATTTCTGGAGCAAGTAAGTGATAGAGAAAATATTTTATTATAATAATTTATATATATTTTATCACATAACATGATTTTTTTGCAATAGAAAGAAGAATCAGAAAATGAAGAAGATAATTTAATTGATTTAATGAAATTGGATAATAATTATTGGAAAACACTGATGTTTCTATGTGTAACATCTGTTACAGTACTTGTATTTACTCTTGGATATTATTATATTGAGGTAATAATATATACTACTCTCTTGCTCAAAAACAATAGTAATACAAATTTATAATTCAAAAAATTTATTTCAAGAGAAAATGTATCTGAAATTTTAGTAATTATAAATCACACTTATTTCTTTGAATCAATATTTGCTTTTGCATATTAAATCGTGCAAAGCATTTAACATTGTTAAAATTATTAAATAACTTAATTGTATTACATTTCTCTTTAGAATATAAGAAGAGATAAACAACTTATAGCAAGAATTAATACACTGGAGAAAGAGCAATTGGACTTAACTTTGTACATAGAATCTATTCAAGAGGTAAGTAATATACATGTACAAGTTGATTTTTGTATATTTACTCTTTGTCATATTTTCTTTTTCCACTATTCAAATGTATGTGTTACATTGAATGTTGAGTGTTTTGATGTTTCACATGTTTTAAGTTTATATGTTACATTCCTAAAATATAAATATTCTAGGCACTTTCCACGCAGAATGAATCAACAGAACATAACTCCAACAGATTTTACGAAGCCAAGCATAGAGCTGATAAAGCAGAGGTATATTCATCACTAGTGTTCATTTACAAGTATCAGAAATATATTCATAAACTTTTTGTTTTTAATATATGTCTGTATGAATTGATTATATCTATATATCTATATAATAAAATGTTCTATTGTTCTATACGTTACAGGAAGAAAAGACAAAATTGGAAGAACAGGTAACTGTATTGGAAAAGGATTTAGAAAATGCAACAGAGGCTGGATTAGAACTTGAACGTATGTTAAGAGAAGTTCTATCATCAAATAATGAAATTAATCCACTAGCTCAATCAGTGGAAGATCTAAAAGCAAGATTAGATGCTCAACAAACCGCAAACGAATCTTTAACGAATGCATTAAATCTTAAAGCTCAAGAGGTGAGAGTAAACATTTGCTTTATGTTATTGTTTGATGTTAGATTAATTTTGACTTCTCATGACTTTGATTTTTGAAGTACAACGGTGTTGATTTTTTTATTTTATTGTTTTCTCTGTAGCATGAGTTTAATAAGATTGAGGTTTGTTAATATATGTGTTTTAATGTGTGTGTGTGTGTGTGTGTGCGCGCGCGCGATGTGAATATACATTTTAAAGATGATATTTATATTAAGTATATCACATTTGCCTCTTATTTTATTTTATATTTATCTTATACATTTTATATATTTATTTATTATTAATTTTTTTATAAATAATTTTTACATATTAAGAATATAATACTTAACTAAGATTTATATTTTATTACAGATTGAGACTTTATCAGCAGATCTTGTTACTACTAAGAAGAAATATGAGGAACTTGAAATAGAATTTTCACGAGTTCAAGACGAACTGGCGATTCTAAGAAATCTTAAGAATAATATAGAAGAAACACTAACAGATAAAGTACATAATCTAGAAGAACAATTAGATGAAGTAAGTTTGTAATTGCATATCTCAATAAATTAATATTATAACAAATATTAATATTATTACATATTAATATTATTACATATTACAGTTAATATTATTACATAGAAGATATAAAAATATGATTATATATATATATATATATATATATATATATATATATATATATATGATTAATGATTAGATTCTTAATGTATATATTCTAATTTAGTTACACAATTTGTTATTTCTTTTTAGCTGGTTATGGAAAAATCATTATTATATAAAGAATTGAAAGGCAAAGAAATAGAAATTAAAGAACTGATGGAAATTGTCAATCAAGTTAAATCAAATAATTTGGACTTGGAAAAATTGTACGATGTATCTCACATTAAAGTTGATGCACAGCAACTACGTGAAGAAAGAGATGAATTAAAAATGCGATTAAGTGATGTTGAAGGCGCTCATCAATTATTAGAAGGTATTTTTCCAACTATAAAAAATCTTGCTGAATAAATGTATCATTATATTTCTCTAATTTTATTAATAAAACTAAATTTAATTAATAACAATATTTTTATGTTACAGAACATATGAAACTTGTTAAGGAAGAGATAACTGCATTAAGTGATCAGTGTAAAATAGCTGAAAAAGAGAAGAAAGATGCAGAAACGCGACTTGAAGTATTGTCAAAGTTTTTCAAAGAAAAAGAAGCTGAACGCCAAAAGTAAGCAATAATTAGTCTTAATAAAAATATGTGTGGTCTTACACTTAGGTAAATTATTAATTTATTAATATTAACTGTAATTATTTTAGGGAAGAAACTATGTGGCTACAGAAACAAGGAGAGGTTGTATCGACAGTCGAAAGGATACATACAATGCAAAGTGAAATACAAAATTATAAGTAAGAATACGATTTGTTTGAAATTTAATAATTTATTTAATAATATGAAGAGAAAATCTAATTTGTGGAAATTTATATTATTTACTATTACTTATTTAGAACAAGTTAAGATATCCTTAAATGCTTATGATTATAAAAATTCTCTTAGGCCCGGTTCCACAACTCGAATTAATTCGAGTTTAATACGTTAAACTGGGTCCTGATTGGTCCATTCACTACTTAAACTCGGATTAACTGGATTGTGGAACTGGGCCTTAGTAAATTTTCAAGTTACAATTACTTCATCATAAAAAAATTTTATTTACAGGCAACAAATAGAGATCTTAAAACGAGAGATCATGGATCAGGAAAGAGAATATAAAAATCAAATATCTGCTCTGGAAACGAAAGCACATGAACAATGGGTAATATATTTAATATTATATATATATATATATATATATATATATATGTGTGTGTGTGTGTGTGTGTGTGTATGTGTACACACACGCACACACACACACTCACACTATGTCGCTATGTTTTTCATAAGGTTGCTGCCCGTCAAAATGAGCGTCGTTTGGAAGAATCGAAAGCCGCGGCTGGTCAATTACGTAATCGTCTTACTCTTGTAGAGAAAAATCTAAACCTAAACGATACTGATTCCGAAATAAAGCTACATCGTAAGTATTTTTGTAAAATATTTATTTTATATATATATATATATATATATATATATATATATTTATTTATTTATTTATTTATTTAGTAAAGAGTTTAACAATTAATAATTTTTAGCATAATTATTTATATTTATATAAAATTTATCTCTCATCATTATTATAGTAATAATTTTTTTCATTCTTTTTATACACATATTACATACACGTTAGATTTCGTAAACAAATAATAATTTATTATAAAGGTAGAAATTAAAATTGTAGAATAATGTTGTAATCTGTAGCATAAGATTATCTTTCTTAGCAAGTAGTAATTCAAATCAATATAATAATGCCATAGATGTATAATTAGTGTGTCAGAAATATGTTCAGGTTCATCTACAGACGATGGATCGCGCAAGATATTATCCGTCGGAATTGCAAGTTCGTATATTTGTACTCAGATATTTTATTTGCGTAAAATGATTTTCAAACAGGCTTGGAAGCAAATGGAGAAACAGTGACTTCGCCGCCATTGTTCATGGGAGCAGAGTCATCCAGTTCTCCAGTAATGTTTAGTGGTTCCTCAGGTGTTCCTCCGCCTCCACCGCCATCCTATCTACATTGTTTCCCGCCGTATTTGCCACCCTTACCGCCCACTACTTCTGGTCTACCTCCATATGATATCAGCCAGCGTCCTCCACCTCTCGGCGGCAGATTATCGTCACCTCCGCCGATGCCACCGCCGTTACATCCTCAACTCACTTCCGGTGGCAGGTATGAGAACACTAGTTCTCCACCGCCACCGATGACTCCACCGCATTTACTTCCATCGTTTAATCATCATAGATCGCCACTATCTCTTCCATTCGGTGATGATCGCATCCCACCTCTCCCTCCACCTGGCTTTCCTCCACCTCTCGGAACGACGCATCCTTGGGGGGAAGAATCACTGCCGGTTCCACGCAATTCTGGTTTCCATCCTCATCAACGAGAGCAACGTGCGCGCAATCATAAAGGTTTGTGAAAACAGTATGCGACACACAGAGCGACGACACATTCATTGGGATATAGTATTAGCTAGATTCATCTCCTCCTTTCTGTCCTTTCGAAAAGTATTTTGGTTGTTACTATCATCTATTCCTTTTTTGTATTTTTATGCATGCAAGGACGCAAACGTTTCTCTAAAGTGAGACAGTTTTGGAGTACTATGGAAGGAAATAATCTCAAATAAAGATGCCCTGTCAGGTTAAAGAACTTAATTTTAATTTATGCTAAATACATGCAATGTGTGTAAATCTTAATAATAATCTTCAATTTTCCAATATATTTTGTGACCTCCTTCATTGCATTACTAGTTTGAAATTTTTAAAGATTTTTTTTATTTGTAACGAAATTTATTTTCATCTCCTTGCATTTTTTAATTGTAGCACAGATATTTTTTTTATTTGTATACCTATACATTAGCTTCAAAATATGAATGAAGTTGTAATTGAAAAAAAAATTTTATATTAAAACATTTTTTTAAAATTCCAGGTTCCTTACATTCGTCAGGAGAATCATTAGATCAGAAAGCACATCATGGAAAAATCTAAGTTTTGTATCTTGTTATTCTCAATACACTTGTACAAAGGCCAAATCACTGTATCAGTGACAGTCTTATTGTGTAACAATTTCAAATAAATATGTAACAATAATATAATTTTCCGTAACATTAACAAGACAAACATGTCAATATCATAAAGTTATTCATTAAATAATATTATCTATCAATGGTATTGTTATGTTTGCGATTATTATATGATAAATTGTTCTATAATGTTTTGCTAAACATATAACTTTTTTATCATCAATTATTTGGAAATTAATATTATGACTTTTGTTATGTTTTATAATTCTGAAAGCACATATATATACAGTGAATTATTTGTAAAAATTGTTAAAAATATTTCTACAGTTTGGTTACATTATAAAAGCGGAAAAACTGGAAATATTGAAAAGTATCTATAATTAAATTGTATTTATATTTCTAATAATGACATGCATATTTTAGATGTTCGATTTAGATAAATAAAATATTGTAATATGAAGTTCTTATATAATCCATATAGAATAAAGGGTACGATTGTTATATATAATTTTAAAGATTGAAATAAATTGTAATTTATTATGGCTGTGTGTTATCAGAATTATTGTAGATTTAATATTTAAAAAAAAAAAAATTATATATATATATATATATATATATATATATATACATATATAAAATAAACAAATTTTTTGTTTTGAATGTATATATTTTTTGTAAAACTTACTCGTCTAATTTATTTAAAAATTGTTCTTTTTATATATATATAAGAGAGATGAAAATTATATATTTATTATCTATAGAAATATTCTTTTTTCACATTTTATGTTCGATAAGATGCATTGTACAAGTAATGTAATATTTAAATATTTACTAAAAGTAAATGTTTAAATGTACAATATTCACAATTTAGGGAAAAGGTGGAGGAATGCACAGAATATTTTTTTCATTTAGCCTATGTTATATAGATCCTAGCTTTGTAAAAATTATTTTGCAACTGTTTTTTTTATATCACAAATAGTAGATATGGATGATATAAATGATATAAATATATATAGTAAACTGATAGTGCCGAATGTTATGCCAAAAACACTACAAAAAATATAAAGAAAAATATCAGGACCGCAAATATCTTTATCATTAACCATCTATTGCTTGTTACAGACTGAAAGTATTTTAATATTTCAGTATGTGCGGCTTCCACGTTTAACTCAGTATCCTCTATATTGCTATCTATCCTGTAAATAAATTATTTCTTTTTGCAATTAAGAGAATTTATATTTATAAAATTTTAATATAATGGTAAATTGTTTTCAGATAACTTTTTCATTTGTAGTAAAACATAGAATTATAATTTTTCCCTTACCTTTCAACCATTTCCTCTTGTTCCTTAACCATATGTGCCAATTGCTGAAAAATACCACCTAATTCAACTATAGTAGATTCTATATTTTGCATAGTCTCAGCTCTTGATTGGACATACGCATCCTACAAAAAGCAAATATATGTAATTGTGTTATTTTGTTTCGCATTAAATTTCTTTACATATATGTTAGATTATTTACGGTATCATCTTGCATAGCTTGTTGCATCAACTGATGATTCATCACTGGTTCTAGGTCTATCGCAACTGAATTACTAGAAACCTCTTCCTGTAGTAATAAAGAACCTTGTTTTCCTGAAACAACACTTGGGGGGAGCATAGTAGATACAGATCCTTGACTAAATTGTTGCCTTCTGTGTTGTTCCTCTCTCATATTCTGTACGTTTCCATATAGTTTATAAATTATCATTTAAATATATCCACTTTTCTAATTTTTCACAATACTTGTAATTTCATATTCTTTCTTTCTCTTAAAATATTCAATTGTTGAAATATTCAATTGTTTGTACAACAATATTAATATATACATTCAAAAAATCTAAACCAAATAATTATCTAGTTGTATAATATTTACATCATGTGTATATTTTATATATTTTTAAAAAAGTACAAATATTCTATAGCATAAAATACTTTTGACCTTTTAATACATACATGTTAAGAAATTATTAAATCTAGAATATATACTTATATACTTTATATTTTATAAATTTTTGTACCAATTAAATTTTTAAAGAGAAAGAATATGAAAATGTAAATAATGTGAAAATATTCTTACACATATATAAGAATATATTTTAACCTACTTCAGACCGAACTTCCAAAACATTTTTAAAGTTATTTGACATGTCTGCCAATTTAGATTGCAGTGCCATCACAATTGAGGAAGAATGCGAAGCAATGTGATGACTCTGAGAAGAACCAAAACTTTCTCTTTGAGATTTTCCAAGCTCTTGCAATTTTCCAATTTGAAGATTTAGGCTTTTTAGGTCTGTTTTAATAATATTTGTAAGCTCTTCAATTTCCATCTGTCTGTCATTAAATATGGATTTCTTTTTGGCCACTGTAATCATATAAAATCATTTATTACAAAATAGTTTTAGTATTTTTGCTTAATTTAAATATTTGCTTTCCTAAAATAGTTATATATTTGCTTTCAAAATTTGTACTTAATTTGTATATATTAATTCAGATTTTAAATGACAAAATTTAACAATTATTAATGATATTCATCAATCATATTCATTATAATTAATATTTCTGTACAAAATTTTTTTGTAAAGTTTGCCGAAACAGTTCAGCGTGACTTATAGTGAAATTTTATTAATTTCTATATAAATTTGTATATAAGAAAAGAATTCCAGAACAAATAAGAATAAACAAAATTTGTTGGAAAAAAACAAAGATACAATTCTTCCGCTTATAGTATCTTCCCTGCGATACAACATATTGGGACTGACTAAAGGTCGCAGACGGTGTACTAAATTCTTGTACATTAGATTCTTACATAGGGCAAGCTTCTCCAGCTTGGTGTATGTGCTAGCAATATTCTTGCCAATGTTCTTCGCTATCATCATAAAGTTCGAGTAGCTCTGTATTTGGCGTGCGCGACGCGGATTCTGCAGATTCGCGACGGTCCGCGCGACAGTTCTGCTCTGCATGGAGCGGATCGCGTTAGCGAACTCGTTGGTCCTGTCACGAGACGTCATCGTCGTCGTCGTCGTCGAAGATTGTTCCGTTGAATCGACAGCCTCGTTCAACAACTCGTCGTTTGCCTCATCTCCATTGTAATGATATCGCGAGTTGCTCGAGCTCGCAGTTGCGAGGTCGCGATCTACCACATTCCCTGCGACGTGACGTCTACGTGCTAACATCGCAGCATCCTCTCAGCTTGCTCCACGTGCGCGCGTGTCGCGAGAATCTTTATCACCAGGTCCAGTTATGTGTCAACAGATTGCGAGCGACGACGGCGGCGACGGACACGTCTGCATGACAACACATGACAGCGGCGCGATCATGTATTACACATGTATGTGATGCGTACGTGATATACGCACGAGGCGTCAATAACTCCACCGTGAAGTTGGCTACAATCGGGGAACCAATAATAACTAGGCAGTCTAGTTGTAAGAATATGCCTAGTCTAGACGAATCACATCAGATACATCTATTGCTTATAGACAACGCTCTATGTATTTTATGTCTAATGCTAAAATTGAGATTTTTCGAGTTTCTGTAGTTTTGAAAAAGCGAAAGAGGCGTACACGTATAAAAATTACTTCCATTTCCTTCAAGTTCTTTTATTAATTACGATACTTACCAACAAGAATAAAGCCGGAATTTCGGTGAGTCTAGATTTATATCTTTATTGAAACGTTTATCTTTATTGAAAGGTTTAATGTTCATTGCAAATCGTATCTATTTACAAGATATGAATTTATAAAATGCATACAAGTTTGTGACAAGTTATTGTATGATGTTAAAAATAATTTTAACAAATTTTGTGATTAACTTTATTGATTGTTAAATATTAGTAATATAAAATAATATTATATATAGTAATTAATTAACCTACTTTATTAATAATTTGTAGTTGTGAGTAGCTACACTTTTTTTTCTACACGACCGGAAATTCGCAAAGCGCGCGACTTTTGAATACGATGAAATCGAACATTTTCGATAGAATTAGAAGTTGCGTCATATATTATGGAAATATATAAATAGAAAAATACATATATAGATGGAACATTGCTGAAGTTCTGTACCATTGATAATATCTTATGTAAATCGATATAAAAAGGAGTTAAAACTTATTGTTAGTATCACCATAGGAATGGATATAAAAAAAAAGATATATATGCAGTATAATATATTAGTATTTTATAGAGGCTATAATAATAATAATAATAATAATAATAATAATCGATACTTGCACTGTCTTTATCTTTATATAATTTCAGAAATTGTATTTATCGCGCATCTATAGATGTTTAATATTTTTTTTCTTGGAAAATTTTAAGTTATTTAAAAAATGTAATATTCTGTTCATATATTAGCTTTTTTTTACTGTTTAATATATTAAGATATATTCATATGCTTTTAACTTTAATTTATATTATTACATAATTTTATATTAGAATTCGGAAAACAGATACACAGATCGTTTCTAAAAAAATATGATTATGAAATTATTGAATCAAATATCAACAGCTGATACTTGTTGCTATCAAGTATTTTTAGTTTTATAATTTTTTCAATAATTTTATAATTTACTGAACATGATATGTTATACAGATACACATTATAAAAAATATTTGCGGGACTTATCTATATGCAACGGATAGCGGACGGATAATTAAATTTCGAACTCTACTTTATATATTAAAATCTTTAAATTGCACATAGTGCAAGACACTTAAGTTGTATAAACTTATATAAATATATAAAGTGTATCTTATTTGTATGTATATATATATATATATATATATATATATATATATATTGTCGGGATTTAATTTATATATATTCATATATTTTATTCTTTATTAGCATCAACATTTTTCTCTTTCTAATCAGCTTACAATATAAGAAATGTATCTGTAAGTTTAGTAAAAACTGTAAATATAGAGCTACAGGAACGTATGTTTTTTTGTTACAATCGAGACACTAATCTAAACGACTAATCAGACATTGATCACGACGTTAGATCTTTCTATGGAAATTTCCCCTGTTTTTGTAAATTATTTACGAACGTTTACTTCTGCGTATAAAAATGCTTGTTATATAATTATATATTATTAGACATTACTTTTTTATGCATTAAAGGCACTATCAAAGGCATTACCAAAGAAACTAAAAGAGGATAAAATTACCTGAATATATGCACAGAAAGTACACTTTTGTGCAATAATTTTACTTTCTTATAGAATAAAAATCTCTGCACAGTTGCATGAATATTGAAATGCCATACAACTAGCAATTAGAATATCTATTTCGTATTTTATCGCGCAGTATATAATAAACTGAACCAGTATAAATCTCTCTCTCTTTCTCTCTGCTGGACGAACGATGTAAATAAGTTATATAATTAATATAAGTTATATAATCAATCAGAGGAGTGCCAATATTATATATTACAAAATAGTTTCTCTGTGAATAAATACGGTCGTCAACCAATAAATTAGCATACATGACTAGTTTTGTGTATTGGCATTTTACCTTTTCTGTGCAGCATTTAAGTAGAAAAAAACGAATTTTAATTATATATGCATTAAAGTAATTTAAAAAATATCAATTTTTAATCTTCTTTATTAGTTTATAAAAAAAAGTTTTTTAAATTCCATATTATTTTTTAAAGTCCTATTTCTGGAATGTAGAGGTGTATTAAGCTTTGAAGCCCATTAAAGTTAACTCAATTTAATTAAAAATTTTAATTCAATTTAATGTTAATTCGAAGCTTTTAATCTTTTAATTAATATTACATGAATTAATTGTTTTATTTAATTAAAATCAATTAACTCTTTTTTAATTCATATTATTCACATATTTCTCTTTGTAAATATTCCGGCTCCCTTTTTTACAACAGTAACAATCTTTTATTTAAAAAAAGACGCAGGTAAACGTCGTAAACAATCAATCGTATTGAAGAGCTATAGAAAACAACGGAAATACAACTATATATATTATACAATAATGTTATTTTAACGCGATGCACTTGGTGCGATATCGAAAAGTTACTCTACTACAGCCACGTAATAAGGGATCGTTTTTTTCTTCGTCCCCAAAATCCACCTCCATACTGCCGCTATCGACGTATCGACCACAAATGAGCGACCACTTTTTAAGCGGTCAGATCCGTGTTCTTCGATATCTCGTTGTTCATATCCTCCACCGTCTCGCGGCTCCCTTCCGCTTCTGCCTTCACCGTTGTCGGTTCTGCATTGCCATTGCTGATCAGTAGAGTGTTATTATCCGGTTTCACATCGATTATGCGAATTCGGATTGCGGCGCCGCCGTTTTCGTCGCCCTGTGTGTAAGTCGTCTCGTTGATCGTTACCACATGACCATCAATAATCTGCAATCAAACAAATTACAGTACGCGTATTAGATTAGTATAATATATCTCGAGGAGGAACACTGGCATACACTGATTTTATGATTACAAGAAAGCTATTCTATCTTTTATTAAAATACATATATGTACATTATATATATATATATAGTATGTAATAAATTAATTAATTAATCATAATCTCTAAAATTAATAATCGATTTAAAATTTGCCTCTGCAACAATTTTTAAATATAATTTATACTTGGCTATCTAATTAATTTATTATATAATATCATTGAATATCCAAATAGTATAATGATAGTATGATGTATATATGTGTAACGAAGAGCCCTAGAGAATAAGAGCTGGTTTAAACAGGGTACAAATCGATTATTCGAACAATTTGCGATTATACAAGTGACAAACGCATCATTAAAATTAATTAAGCTTCATTATTAAAGAATTTGCAACCGCCACGTTTAGAATATGACAGTGAATAAGATGCAATACGGTACTTTATTCTATCAATAAAGAAATGTTGCTTCGAGTTGAATTATTAAAACTGCTCTATGTATTTAGTTAAACTTTCTATATCTCTCCACACGTATGTATGAGTGTGAAAGCGCAATGAAAAAAATATCCAATTCAATATATTTCCATATTTTCCTGACAAAATGCTAAATCACGTTTCACATGTCATACTTTTAATCTACATATTATTGTATCATTCCTTCTTTATTTTATATCCATATTTATCCATGTTTAAATGCCAATGAAAGTTTCCTTTTTATGAAAGAGACATTTTTTATGAAAATATTTTACGGTTTTAAGTATATTTCGAATATTACAAATAAATATAAATTTATGCTGCCTTTCCCTCCCTCCCTTTCTCTCTCTTTCAATTGTGGTACCTTAGAAAAGAATAATCAGTTTTATTTTTTTTTCTATTTTATAAGGATATATAACGTGCAAATGACAGGCTTTACACGCGAATAACGCTGTATCCGAGAAAGAAAATCGCCGACACTCGGCGAACTTTTCGGCGGCCGATTATCCATTTCTATTATTTCTATTTCGTCGAGCTTTGTACGGCAAGTCGCATTAAGCATTAAGCGATTTACATATTAAGGGGACAGTGCTGCGCAGATTTCACGCGTGTAACAATACGCGACGAGAAATGCAGTAATCCGATCACTATTATCACCGCACACTTACCGCTACTATACCATTGTTAACTTGGTATTCTTTCTCATACCCTCTCTCTTTACTACAGTGTACACGTATGTAAATTGCTGGCATTGCATCATCTTCGGGACGTGTCCGGCGCGGCGCGAAACTTCCTCGTATATCGACAAATTATTTTACTTCCTCGTGGACGGTATTATCAACTAACTCAAAATATGTTTTCACTTTCAGTCACAAACAAAAAACGTTCAACGTAAAAAATATAATATTTCATTTCACAACGAATAATGATCGGCAATTATAGAAAATATAATAATAAAGATAATTTTATTGATTGATAAGTTTATGAATGATTTATTGATTGATAAGTTTATGAATGATTTTTCTGGACGAGTTTATTTTAAAGAATGTAGCGAAATCATTAATTTATATAAATTAACTTAAATCTATTGAGTGAGTATATATTTACCTTAACGGTGGAAGTTGTATTCGCTCCTTCAGGAATCTTAATGTTCGTAACATCAGGAATATTCCAAAAATAGTTCAGCATATATTGTCTCATTGCATTGAAGTACTCTGAAAGAAAAAAAACAAAAGAATTTAAAAAACGAGTATTTTTCTATATATTATTCTATACATTTATACAAATGTACGTGATAATTTGTATGAATAATATTTTTATATAATTTTTAAATTGGCTGCTTGATTTTATATTTGTAAATGTCAATAACAACGATTTAGTAAAGTGCGCTTGATAATGCAGAACTGAATTTAAACCGTTGGCAACTGTTTAAAAAATATTTGTCAAGCATTTGGAGATGACGTGTTTATTAAGACCATGTGTGGTCGTTGGATTACAAAATTACGTTTCCATCATTTTGATTTAGGAAATGAAGCAAGCCATGATGAATCCATCGGTCTGAATAATAATTTATTTTGAAAAAATAAAAATTCGAGAAAATTTATAATCTCGATAATTTATTAGAAATAATTCGACAAAACTTGTAATCCTGATCATTTATTAAAAATAATTCGGCCAAATCCGTAATCTCGATAATTTATTACAGATTAATTGAAAGATCTATATACGCTGTATAACTTTACTACCAATTAATACATATAATTTTATCTATTCATTATTTGATAATCTATAATTTTTATAAGTTCCCTCTCTCTCTCTCTCTTTCTCTATCTTCTTATTAAGATAGTATTAAGATTGTAGATTTAAGATTGTATTAAATATAGTTATGCCCGAAGATCGGCCTAATGACTATTATATTTAAAATTTTTGCATTTCGAGTCGTACATTTAACGATTGTTCCATCGTTGTTTCCGCGTAGTTACCGTTTCATTTCATTTTAACGACCCAATAGCGCTTTATTGCGATTTGGCGCGAATCAGGTCGGGTGCACACTAGTATAGATGAATCAAGAGTCAAACCCTGGATTCAAACAATACAAATGAGGGTACTAATACGTCTATGTCTCTTTCCACACAATTCCGGAGAAAAGAACCGTGTACACATTGAAGAATCGAGAGAGCGAACGTAATAAACGACACTATTTAACGGCGCGTTTGCGCTATGCGACGTCTATAATATGAATTTGTTTCTCTAAGCACGATCGGAAGGATAATTAATATTAATTTTAATTTTGCTATAATCAAATAAAATTTTTCTTCGTCATATTTATTAAATTAAAAACAAAAATGCTTCATTTAATTCTCTTCATTTGAGCGTATTGCTTTCCTAATCCGGTATCCGTAATCGTTTTTTTTATTTTGTAGTTATATCTCAGACTTTGTGTATAATTTAAATGTTCTTGATATAATATATAAATATTTAGATCCGAGGGTATTTATATCTCTTACATGTCTGCGAACTCGCATGTCGTTATGCAATTCCCGCGGTTCCGCGATAAGACGTCGTTTGGTGCGCGTTATAAATAAAATGGTAGTTGATGCCGCGACCCAGTATTTCGTAAAATGTAATAATAATTTATGCCGTGATCGGATATACGCGGAGAGAAAACGGGGAGTACGTCAACCGTGCCGATAAATTTTGCATACTTTATTGCGCTTACAATGCGGTTGCTGGAGTAAAATAGTCGACTGTATCGGCCGATTATTGCTATGTGGAATCTCAATGAGGACACGTCGGGTCGGCATATTATTCGACAGTGGCTTCGTTTGCATATAGAAAAATTTGCAATAGATGGGAAGAGGAAAACGGGAAAGGGGAAGGATATGGTAGCATTGGATATATTGCCGAAATCGTCGCGTTACCGGCTTTTTGCACGCGATAATTTTAATTAGCTGGCAAAATGGTTATTGTTAAAAACGGTCGTCCATAAACGCTTATTTCGAATTTCGACGTGCATCGAATACGAAGCGGAATTTAACAAATACGCTAAATCAGCGAAAGAAAATTACGATATCGATTTCGCAAATTTAGCGAGCAACAAGTAAACAATTTTATTATATTGTACGAATCGCGGGGAATGTTAAAAGTAATTTGGAATAAAAATATTTAAAAATACAAATTTCAAGATTATATATACTTTTGTTGTAGCACGAGATTTACAGAATAGCCTAACCTTACGTTCATTTAATAATGATGCATTAATAACATAATAAAGAGTGTTGAATTTAAATTTGCACTATCAATTTTGCAAAATGAAATTGTCGCTATTAATAACTTTCATAATATTGATTTATATATTGATTTATATATCGGTAGTAATTATATATATATATATATATATATATATGTATATATATATATAATATATATATATATATATAACATAATATATATACATATATATTTATTTATTATTATTATTATTTATATCGCTATTATATGTGCTACGAAGCTTTAATTCTTTGCTAATTTTTATATATTTTCTGTGAAATTTTTTATATCTATCTAATGTAACATGAAAGTGCATATAAAACTAATAATTATCAATTTTCAACATAATGATAGCAATGCAATAATTATATACTTACCGACGAATCATTTTGAATTACGAAAATGAAAATCAATAACGAAAACCACTAAACCGATATCGTTCCACTGGCCAACTGGTCCCAAAAATTAGGTGGGGCACATGACGTACACATATTTAGCATATAAATATTATTCATTTCACAAATTATATTTGTGCTAAATATATGCACGTTTATATCCTACCTAATTCTTGAGACCAGTTGACCTTCTGTCAAACTCGATATCGATTTGGCGACAAGTTTTTGCTTTCGTGATTCAGAACTTGATCACTGATAAAATATAATTATTACATTCTTATCATTATATCTGAAACTGATAATTATTAGTTATTAATTTTAAAAAACAATGTAAACAAATTATATTTTTCTGTAAACAATTATTATAAAAACTTTGATAATTAATTAATTGGCATATTTCATACATTCATTATTTTTATCTTTGAATTAATTCCGACTAATTAATAGTCGATAATTCAGAGATATTCTACGTATATAGAACATCTCCGAATTATCGGCTATTAATTAGTCGGGATTAATTCAAAGATAAAAATAATGAATAATAAAGTACAGCTATAAGAAATAAGTTCCAATTAACTAATTATCAAAAAAATTTTTATAATTAGAAGAACAAAATACATATACATTACCTTTTAAAATTATGTATATTGTGCACAGAGAAGGAAACAAACAGGAAAAGAGCAGAGAAAGAGAGAGAGAGAGAGAGAGAAAAAGAGAGATTCTACATTTACAGCCATTCCGAGACACGTCTGAAATGCAAATCAGTCGGCCATTGCGACCGTATTAAATTTCAGACTGTTCGACAGCGCTAAAATAATAAATAGCTCGTGAAATCATCGGGAAATTGGCATCCGTAGGCTCTCATGCTCGCGGAGTAACTCCCGGTCCCCGGGGTCCATTTCCAGGCCGCTCTCCCACGGCGCTGCGTCACACGGATTTGAATAACGATTCATCGAGTCGCGCAATCAACGATTACTGTAAATTGCTCATTCGATGTCCGCGGTTGCTTTTGGTCCTCGGATTACGTATTATATACCGTTAGAGCGGCGGATCGATTGAACCGATCATCTTCTCTTTCTCGTGCTTCTGGCAGTGCGCTCCGATCTCTCTGTCGCACCGTTAAAATCCTCTTAATAGTGAAAGTGATCAGATAAATTTTGTGCTCTCGTGTATCGACCTTGAAGCCACGCACGATCTCGCAGCGACCTTTGAAAGCCATACATTTCGTTACTTTGCAATCATGAGAGAGTGCTTTTGTTACAACGCAAATCTTTTTATTCATCGACGAATTCATTTCAATTTGTAATAATCATGCAGAGGAAAACCAAATGCACGAGTTTCTAATTCAATACATTTGTAATTCTATGGACGAATGGTCTCCGCACAGTCGCTTCATCCACTCTCGCTTTGCTCGATCGAGCAAAGCAATAGTAATCAAAGCTTCTGATGTCGCGGTGACTTGTGCGTGTCGCGACTTGCAAATAGGCATACTACTGAAACTATCCGTCGTGCATTGCATTCTGCACGAGCAGAATTTGATACACGAGATACACGTAAGGGATATCATATGCAGTTATGTATACGGCTCACAAATTTATCTCTTTTCTCAAGTCCGCAAGTCTTTGTGAAATGTACACAAGACGTTTATTTGGACGCAAAAACTTACACTCCTTGAAAAAAATTTAATGAAACTCTGAAGATGCATTTTATTAAATATATATGTACATATATTTTTACTATATATGTCGTTTCTATATCTTTCTTTATTACATAAATGTATATAATTTAATAACTTCAAAATTCAATATTTCGATATTTAGAAAATTATTCGATGCTAACGATTATAAAATATTAAAAACTGAAAAATTTATTAGATTTTTTTTTAAATAAATTTTTTAATCAATTATACCGCGCAAGATTATCGCCAAATTTATCTATTAGTTTATTAATTGATGAATTTATTAATTTGCATATACACGCGCAGTTACGGCATCCATTTCGCTATCTCGCAAAATGTGCCGAACGAGAGAATGGCTCTTTGAAAATAGCAGAGGTCGCGCCAATTAATTCTCTTGCGCGACCTGTTAATTTTCTCTGAAAAATTTAATTTTCGGCTACGCTTTAATCACGCCGCGCGCAATATTGAGCGAAATTTCAGAAGAGGAAAAAGCTTTCTTTCCTGAAAGGGTAGGTGGTTGTAAAAGGGATCATCACTTAAAAAAATTTACAATGACATTAAACTATAAAACTATCAATACTCTGATATAGTTCCACATATACTCTGATATAGTTCCACATATTTATACTGCAATATCTGTTAAAAATACATCTAGTAATCTCTCTATCTAACAATTTATTTTATTTTTCTCGTATATTAATATTTGAATACAAATAAATATAATTATTTGAATACAAATAAATTGTATTTGAGAGAGAGAGAGAGAGAGAGAGAGAGAGAGAGAGAGAGAATTTCCCAAAATTATTCTTCCACTCTTTTTTTATTTAGCATTAGCAATGAATATTTTTGATTTAATGCAGTCGTATAATTATATCAGATACACATATTCATATTTAATTTATTACACATTTACATATATCCATATTTAATTTAATTTTACAGTACATTTTCCCTTTAAAAGAACTCTATCTTATTATAGTGATGCGCAGTTGACGCAAGTTACAGATTATATATAGCATACAGTTAATCTCACGTCTGCATTATTTCATCTTGTTACGAGCGTTAACATTAATATCGCGACCTTTACCTGGCTGTGCTACTTCGAAAGGCCATGAAACATGACGTTTACCACCATGGATTTTATTCTGTCGAGCGTGCGACGCACGTGCCATCTACCTGTACTTGTCCGTTAGGGATCTCGGAATCACCTTGTTAGAAATTCCACGCGATAACACCGTTAATCATGTCGATCGATCGATCGACTACCTTTCTATGTCGCATATTTTTGCGCCCATGTAAATGTACGCATGCACAGAGATATGTCACTAACGCCAAATTTTATGACTTGATTCCATCGTGACAAGGATAACAATCGCAGGATGATAGTTAATAATGTGAATCTATGATCCCGAATCTTGTATGTTTCTTCTTCAGATAAAGCTCAAGGTACTGTCAAAGTACTGTCTCGATACAATACTATCTCAAATCAGATTTAGCGCTATATGTGATGTACGAGTACAGAATATTTTTTTAAATGGATGAATATAGAAAACAATTTCGGTACATGTATTCTTAACATATATTCCTAAACGTACTTAATTTTTTATAATTATATTCAAAGGAATTATCTTAATTTTCATAAATATTTTTGATATATCTTTTTAAATTGATTAATATTGACACCGAATTGTTAATCACTAACATTTTCAAAGTTCTGAAAATATTACTTTTCTTTTTATTAATATTAAATTTTTTTTAACTAAAGCTAATTTTTTAAAAAAACTTTTAAAAATATTATATTTTTTAAAACGGAAAAATGTATAGTTGTCTCTTAAACCTATTTGCTTCGAGCAATTTGTAATTTTTTACAATCCGATAATAATCGGAGGTGCCTAATTAGAATAATATTTTTTAGTAATCCCGGTCTCTCATTAAAATACTGCTGCTACCTGTTATTATTCCTTCTCGTCCCAATGTAATGTTATAATTATGTCGATTAGTAGTGCGACATAATCTTACAGTTTAAGTTTTTATGTTCTACGATAAGAACATAATACACGTATATACATTAAAGCAGAAATTGTCGCAATCGCTAAAATTATCACATTTCGAAGAACTACGCAAATTTTTTTAAGCAGCCATATTATTCAGTTGTTATCTATGTAAAATTTTTACTTATTCAGATGCATATTTGACGTTTGATGCATATTGTTTAAGCTTTATAAATATTTATAAAATGCGCGTCGCGCGCGAAACGCATGAAAATATTTAACAAGAATTTTGTTACATATTAGTTAGTAAAAAAGTAGGAAAATATACATCCAACACGAACGGTTCTTTCACTGTTTTGTTTATTCACTGGCACACTGTATAGTTTGAGTTCGATAGGGAAAAAAAATGAAGATAAACAAGTTTCTCAAATACATTCGGTTGCGATTGTGCGACTGTAACGTATATTTATATCTTTTGCAAATTTCTTCAATGTACAGGGTAGAAATACAGAGATGTTACATATCAACATACATTTGTATTTGTCTATTCTTCTATTTACTTTTTCAGAAACCGAAATAAGAAGAAACATGATAAAATTTTAATATCGACTTTTCTTCAAGATTTATTTCAAAAATATTTTAATTTTTTTATTTGATTTTATAAATCACATACATACACTTATATAAGAATATTTAGATATCGAGTTTTATGAAAAGATTTGAGATAATAAAATTCACAAAAATATATTTTAAATTTAATAAAATTATTATAGAAAACTTTATTAATCTATTTTTTTCTGAAAATGAAATCTGAAATTTTTTCTCATCATATTTCATATAACAAAATAAACGAAAAATAAATATAATACCACAAATAATAAAAAATCAAAATTAATAATTACAAAAAATTTATTTAAATAAATTATTTCTATGAAATCTTTCAAATATAACTTCAAGATAAAAATGTGTGTAAATCCACACACAAATCAGGATAATCCTTGAATAATTAAATATACACTTACATAACATATTTTAAAATTAAAAAATTATTATTATTTATAAGCTTTCTAATAAAATATTTTTTTCTTTATAATTATTATTTCGTCTTCAAATGTCTGTTTGAGTTTAATATATTTTATCTAAAATATAAGATTTCTATTTTAGTTTCAATATAGCTGTTTATATGCTCGGCGATATTATTTTTCGATGAAAATCTTGTTCAAATTATGTTAAATGCAAGTGTCTAGTTTCATATGAATAATTCTCTTAAATGCGATTATCGATAATAGTTAAATGGCGATACATTGTTAGAGTGAAGGCACAGTGGTCTACAGGTGCGGTATCGTTTCGCGATATATGCGGGGCTCGAATTGTTGCGTAACGAGAGTGACGGGTGGCACGCATGCACCCACACACGAATAAGCAAGTCATTACCCGCGAGACATTATTACTGCAGTTGTATACATATACACATATACACAAGTGGTATATATGGCGCATATCGCAGTCGAGCTGGTTTATGGGAAATTGTTGATCATCCTAGAGCGCAGAAGAGCGGAAGTTGCCTTCCGTAAAGCAGTGCGATAATCTGTAGAATACGCGTGTGGTGCCTACAATGCTGATTCTACGCATCGCTAAAGCGAATATTTGAAATACCAATTATTCTTATCTACTTGGAGGAAAGAAAGAGGCATATTTACATTTAATGTTGATTTACGCTAAAGCAGATGTTCGAACCTCGATTATCATTATCTGTTTAAAAGAAAAAAGGAGCTCATATCTACGTCTTATGTTGAGACTTAATAATATATCTCGTAAATATGTCTTATATCTCTTGTAAACAAATTTTTTATCTCTTTTCTAATTTTTATTTAGGCAATTATTTCTTAAACCTTCAAAACTATTTTGTAAAAATGCTTTGCATTTGTATATTATACGTAAAAATCATATTTTTATGCAATAACATACATAAAATTTTACAACAAAAAACTTTAACTTGTTTCTATACATCAGTTTTACCTTAAATTTTATTCGTTCCAATATGTACATTTCTCGAGTAGATATATAAAAAAATCATTTTTAAATAATGTTAAAAGTTATAATCGGAAAATTATATTATACATAAAATCAGATGAAATTAACACACATAATCGATTTTTAAACGAAATTAAATAGCCATTGATTAGTTATCGTACATGGCCGTTGCTAACCAAGTCGCTCTGAGTGAACGACAGAACGTGATAATTGGTAGACCATAAACAATACCAAATGTCCATATAGGCGCAGACTGACGGAAGTTACGCTCAGACAAACCGCATGTAAGCGAAATACGAGCCTGACGCTTGCGACGCAATCGTGGATGCGTGTTGCATTTCCGGCCGTAAGCGCGCGATGCGTGTGCGATATTTGCGCACGCCTCTATGATCCCCACCTGTCAGTGGCAATACGCACGTTCGTATACCGCATTTGCGAATTTGTGTGATTAGAGCGCAGGAACATGAAGGCGCTAATGAAAATAACGGGATGTATTCGCACCTATATTTAGCACTTGATTTGTTACGCGACCGTCTGTAATCTCGAAATTTGTGTTTTCTGCACGCATACATTCGGCCATTAAAAGTTCCATTCCGATGTTCATTTCGCATTTATGCTCAACGCGGTATTTATATCGGACGAATAAAATTAGTATTTTCGCGGCTATATTTAGCGTGCTATATTTAAACATGCAATGGAAATATGAACAAATGTACTGATGAAATGTACGAATACGCGTACTGATGAAAGTTAATGATCAAAATCTATTCTCTTTTTAGTGTTAGTGCTTTTTATTTTTTTTTCTAATTCTTTCTCTTTCCTGTCTCTTCCTATTCAATTTTCCAAATATATATTAACTGACCAAATATATATTAACTTACTTTAACTGTAGAAAACGTGATGCAGTATATAATAATTGCATAACGCAATTATTAAAAAGTACAAACTCTGTTATCGAAATTATGTATTAAAATTATGTATAGCACTTCTCTATATCTCTCTCTTTCTATCTCAGAAACTATAAATATACATACCATTAAAGGTCGAAAAGTCATCCTCGAAATCATCCTCTTCAGATCTACCTGTAATAAAAATAATTATTTTTTAGTATATTCATTTCTTGCGACTAAACGAAAATGTGTTTAAAAAACTAGAATCTACACGGAATATTTAGTTATAATACAATTTCTTCTTAGTATACATATATGTAAGAAAATTTAAATTTTTCATTTTTTATACACATGCACACACAGTATGTGTATAGTCTTTTTATGATAAATAAAAATCTATATACATAAATAATATCTATTATAATATAATAGCATTATACTTATTAATTAAACTTCTAACTTTTTAGATACGTCAAAATTATATATTTCTGACTTTTTAGATACGTCAAAATTATATTTACTAGTGTTTTATATTACTCGATCGTTAATGAAATCTTACAAAATTAAAGCGTAATTATAATACTGACATAAATAATACCTTGAAAGTGATTTATTTGGTTAAATTCACTCTATTACATTCTTCTATATGTTTAAGAAAAGGTAAAACCGCATAGATGAGCAGATTTACTTTTCGATTTATTAAGAACGCTGCTTTAAAACTTTGTTCACGTGATCGTCGTAACACTATGGCGCTACAACGATGTGCACGCGGAAAAGTCATAATCGCCCGAGCAATTAGGCGCAGAATAACCGTTAATTACCTCATACGTCATCCAATCCAGATAGCGGCGTGTTTATGAAGGACTTCTAATGAATTATTGTTCGACGTAGTCAAAATTATAGCGCATTAAGATAAATGTGTGACTTTTTCCTGATCCGATACTTAATTTTTGCAAATATTACGTACTAGATAACTGTACGAATTTTAGCATTTTTACATTCTTTTTTGTTATTCTTACAATGAAATAAAAATTTTGTCCATTGGAAAATAAAAAAATCTATAAAAATATTAATTCTTCAAACATTGTGCTATGAAATAAAAAAAAATTCGTCGCGCCAGTATCAAATAAAGAGCGTAAAAAATATCTGAAAAAAATATATGTTGAAGAATTAAAGGCAAAGGGGAAATCGAGCGAGGGCGAAAGTGACAGTGATGTGAGAATGAGAACAAGGGCAAGCCAACGCTTGGCGCAAAATCGTCGCCGCGATCGTGGCGTTTCCACCGATTATCCAATTCGGTCGTCGTCAATTCGCATTGATGGACGGGAGTGTAGGTGTCAATTTCAGTCAATCTATTCCCCTGCTGCATGCAAGAAGCGCAGTAACGTGGACTCGAGAAAACTCGCGAGGGCGAGCTGAAAAACGTTTCGCTGAAAAACGCAGTGGAAATTGATAGAACGATCTGACGAATCTCGTAAAGGACCGATCTTATCGAATCGCACTCGCGGATAAATCGATTCTCGAATACGTGATATTAATTCTTATTGAAAACGGATGTGTGTGCGGGATAAAATTGTTAATTTCGCATGATTGATAAAACGTATCGTATATCGATAGTCCATAAAAGCACAAATTTTGCATCGTAAGAAATTAACATTACGAATTTATGTGCACATATATGCATTACAGTACATGCTGATAAGTAATGATTAATCTTTTACTAATTTATTCTGTGGTGCGCGATTACGTTTTCTTGATTATTACGAAGTATGCTATTTTTACACCGTAATTAAACGAAGATATATATATATGTTTTATATATTTGGAAATTTTTATTACGACAATTTTTTATCGATTGATTAATATTCGGGTTTCCCAGTTACGCGTATATACGACAAATATTTATTTTAATCCGCGCCATTAATATAAAATAAAAATGGAAATATATTCACCTATACACAATATAAATTATACCAAAATTAATAATTTTTTTTTTTCTAGAAATAATTTTCAATTTATATACGCCTTATAAATTACGTAGGTTTCTTCATGATTACGGTCCTCCCTCATGGCGCGATGGATATTTCGCCAGTAAATCTAGTTGTCCAGCACGAATGTGCAAATTCCGCGTGATGGATGTAGGATAGCGTCTGAACGGCCTGCGGCGCCGCGCTCACGAATGTTGTTCCCCTGAGAAATTTCCGTCGGATCGATCTATCGAGCCCGCTCGTTTTTTATACTTTCCACTTTTCTCCATCTTCCTTCCTCCGCTCGTTTCTTCGAGTGACATTAGGCAGGCTTAATGCGATATCCTGACAAAAAGGAAAACACGTCGTAAGCGCGAAGCCGCGCCGCGACTGCCATTGACTGTAGAATGAAATAGAAGTTTCCTCAGGAGCGGATGATGGCATCTTGCGATTTAAAGTTAATCCATTTCTTGAAATCTCTAATGCACAGGAGGATAACGGGGATAATGGGATAACAGGAGGATAATGGGATATTACAAGAAATCCGCTGTTTTTCCATTTACAAATATTTGCGGTCAAAATTATCTTGTTGCTGAAGCGATTTTTACGAAGAAGATCGTATCTAGCTTCCCAGGATAGATCCGCTCCTGGAATGCAGCCTTTTCCGCAGCATTCTCCTCTAAGCGGCTGGCAAAATTCCACTTTTTATGAACAGACCATCGTGCAGTTGACAAAAACAGATATCCTTTAGCGGCGAAATGACGAGTATCGTCAGATATTACTGGCATTATTCTCGAATTATCGCACATTTGGATTCTGAGTTGGATGGCTCTATGTTAAAATAGAGCAAGATATTATAATCTAAAGTGTTTTAAAGCCTATAAATTCTTGCCTATAAAATGCCTATAAAACTATAAAAATAAACATAACAGAAATGAATAGCAGTTTCACGACTAATAGCAATTTGCGGGTGATTTAAAATTATGACTGAGGATTAAGTTAAACTGTGCGAGTGCGCGAACCTTTTGTTTTTAAAAGTAATAAACTATATTTCGAGCAAGGAACACAGCGATAGAGATTTGGGATATCCAATCGTCGTCGGCGGCTTAATTGGAATGCTTGCCGATTCGATCGACCCAACGTGCAGCGTTTCGATATAAGGCAATTACAGTAATTGCGGCAAAGTATTGGTAGTTTCATGGAATATATGCATGCATATACAACGAACCTAACTGCATACTGTTGATGGTGATAGTATCATACTAACTGACACACACACACACACACACACAGAATTAGTAATTATCACTTAAGTTATCAAGTATCTGTCTTGAATCTGTCAATTTACTTTGACAACGTTTGACAATAGAAAAACGCTCCAAAAAAAATCCTCTTTTCGCTTATAATATTCAAAAGATCTTAATTCGGAGTAAACGTAATATAACGCTTGAAAATACCCTATATAGCGGCAATTATTATGGGGGAGATAATGAAGTCGTCAATCAAATGGAATATTAATCTGATTTATTGAAATTGACGTGAATAGATGATGATTTCTATTGTTATTGGAAGCGCTATCTCTCATAGTCCCTCCCTCTCTATCATGTCTCCATTATAGAAATTATCTATTCTGAAACATTAAAACCCTAGTAAGAGTACATTGAAAAACACTATGAAATATATTCACTATGTCAATAATGATAAGTCAAATTAATAATTTAATAAGTTTGAATTCTGTTTTGAGTTTGAGTTTTTAAAATTTCTGCAATTTACATAAACGATATGTTATGGAAGATGATGTATAATAAAATTTCAAAATATTTCGTGTAAATCACAAGATTGCGAAAATTGCTTTCATTTACAGCGTAATATAATATTAATAAAGCGTTTAGTTGATTCTTAAAAGATACTTATAACAGAGATACATATCATTAAATTGTAATGTTCGTCTACGAAAACCAGCTCCTTTTTGATAAATTAAAAATTTGTTTGAAGAGTAAAATATCATTTTTGTGTATAGAGATATTCTGCATTTTTTCTTTTTCGAGATTATTTTACTTAAAGATTAGATTAATTTAATATCTTTCGGAGAAATTTGAAAAAAAAGAGAATTTAATGCGATTTATATAAAATCTTAAGAATATTAAAAAAAGAATGTTTTAGACACATATAATATAAAAAAATAGCTTTGCTTTAAACTAATAATAAAATTTCAGTAAATGTCTTAAATCGCAAAATATTTTGTTTTGCTTGTAATTAAACAAATATTTTCGACTTTCTAGATATCAAACAAGTTTTTAATTAGATTTGATTAGTCCAGATTTCATGCTCCGTTTCAACAGAATTACACTGTCCTTTCGCAACGAACTGGTATGACTTTCTCACACGATTTATATCTCCTTCCTTCATACGCTCTTCGAATGAGAACAGGATAGAGTACAGGGTTGTCAGAGAACAAGTTTCGTAACTTATTTAGTCTATTTATCGGAAAAGATGTAACTGCATGAAAAAATGTATGTTCGGCTGGAACGAGAAATTACAGATCCGTGACATCGCTGTTGCTGTCTCTCGTAAAATATATTTCCTTTTTCACTCTATCGCATATGGCATATACATATATATTTCGTTCCGTTGAACCGCCACCACCAATATCATCATCACCACGCGGATAAATATTTGTCAAAGATATTACGATCGCGCAATGTTATATTTTCTAGAAAGTACTTTTTAAAAGTCGTACACAACATTTTATTAAAATTCTTTAAACTTTACGTTAGCGCCAATACGGGATGCAGTTTTCGCGTTTATTTAAATTTTCAAGAAACTCTTTCGGGATTGGATCGTATATTTTTGACGGCGAAAAGAGTAAATAAAAAAAAAGAATACTCTCTCTCTCTCTCTCTTTCTCTCTCTGTCTCTCTCTTTCTTTTCCTTCTCCCTTCTCTTTCTTGTTGTGACAGTAATGTAGTGTTATATACATAAAATTACCATTTAAATGACAAAAATGTTACTTAAATACCATTTAATACTGTTATATACTGATTCCAAGCAAATTATTTTTCAAATTGTTTAGATAATCCGAGTTCTTTATTCTCTGTGTGTGTATATGTGCTTTATATTTATTTTATATATATAATTGTGTATGTAATTTATTCTCAAGTATTTTTAATATTTTGTCAAAGCTATTTCTCATTACCATTTTGAATGACCTGATTGCATAAAAAA